CAGTATGTGTGTAACATTAGTTTTATAAATAAAAAGTCTTAAAATGTAAAACCCTTATATAAAAAAACATTCCATAATTTAAATAAGTTGTCATGTAATATGAATATGTAAATAACTCAATTTTGACAAAAATGTCAAATAAAACCTTATAATTCTAAGGTGACGATATGGCGTTATTCAACAATGCGATGTGTTGTGACAATCAATATGCACAATATTGATAAATATTGATTCAACTTTTAGAGAGCTTCTTAAAATATATCTAGATTGTATTAGTGGTTGTTCATCACAACACCATTTGAATATTTAATATCATAAAAGACCTTGTTATTCAAACATTTACATATAATATGACATGTGAAATTCTTACTTAGGCTTTTTGTTTGTTAATACATGTTTTATGTTTATAATAAATGTGTTTTTTAATATAATTTTGCACTTTACATGCATTTGGCTGTAAAAGTGCACCTACGGGTGTTTCTCTAAACAGGCGCAGGTCAGATTTTCTCCAGGTCATAATTTATTTTATTTAAATGTATTTTTTCTAAAAACAAATAATTGGACCCATCCAGTTTCATCTAGAATCCTTCCTTCCTTCCCAGACCACCTTCTGAGATTTCTGAGTGATTTATATCCAATCAGAATAAAATTAGTGAAGTGACCAGGTTTAAACAACCCCGAAAGCAGACGTGACACTGTAAAACCCAACAGTCAACTTTATCAAATCAAATGAGTGTAGTTAACTCAGAATTTACTGGAAGTTAGTTCTAATCATTAAAAAAGGAGAGATTTGAACTCAGTTTTGAAGGTAATGAGTAAATTAAATACCTCATTACTTGAACTCAAATTGAGTAAGTTCACAGTACGCTTACAGATTATTTCTTTTTACTCAAATAAGTTGAAGCAATTAGTTTCCTCAAATAGTTTGAGTTACCTTAACTTTCTAGCTTTATCAGTGCATGATTAGGGCCTTTTTCTGTCAAGTGACAGCTGAGAACTCTGCTTGGTATTAAAGCTTTCATTGGACAGTTATTTTCAAACAGCATTAGTGGCAAAAATAGGAAATGAGGTTACGGGACAAATCAATAATGCCCAATATGCAGTACGTCCTGGCTATGCAGCCAGTTAGTCTAGAACAGGGGTGTCCAAACTCAGTCCTAGAGGGCCAGGGTCCTAAAGAGTTTAGCTCCAACCCTCATAAAACACACCTGAACCAGTTAATCGAGCTCTTAGTAGATATACTAGAAAACTCCTTGCAGGTGTGTTGAAGTAGTTGGAGCTAATCTCAGCAGGACACCGGCCAACTAGGACAAAGTTTTGACAGCCCTGGTCTAGCATCTCACGGTAGCCACAGATTCAGTCTTTTTTAACATATATTCAATATTTTGCTACAGTGACGCTGCTGCCTGCTTTCTCTTCCATCTCTTTTCGACCAATAGCGTTACACGGTATGGATGAGGATGTTGCATCAAAGATTCAAACATTACCGCTCGGTGGGTTATGTCACGTGACTTGTGTCACATTATTGTGACTTTGAGGCTCCATGTGATTCTAATTACTGGCCATAGCTATTTAAAATGACACTTTATTATAAAATATATATTTTTGTAAATTACAATAAAATTAAATAATGTTGGGATAAATTCAAACCACCCTGGTGATGGCCATGTATAGAGACACATTTAGTCAGCAATATGATTTTAAACACATTTTAAATTCTCGACTCAATTAAGTGAATTGATCTCGAAGATCACTATGTGCCTGAACATGCTACATGTTTATTTTCCCCCCATTTTTTCCAAGCGATGAAACTTCGAACAAACCAAAGGTTTATGTTTACATTTTTTTAAATGATATTTTGCTCTTCATTTCAGTTTTAGTAAACTATAATGACACAGTCACATATAGTAAAAACAAATTGTGGTTGAATCGCTTTAAATGTCAAACAGGCAGTCTGTTGCATAAGCAAGAGATTCTTGGCTAGAAAGGCTGAACCAAACATTATGCCTCAGGTCAAAAGTCTGGCATTCACAGGACTTTTCTGGAAAAGATCCCATGCAAAGTCTCCAGCGTAATTTATTTCACTCTAGATCAATATGTGTACAGCCACAGAGGGCAAGGAGCAACTTCCTAAACACCTTGATTGCATTTTCTTTTCTTTTTTTTCTCCTGATGCGAACAGAAAGGCACACTCAACAGTCTCCTACTGTCTGCCTATAAATGATGTGTCACAGACTGTGATTGGATAAGAGCTACTAGGCAGAGAGAAATGGCATTATCTTTACTGACATATCTGCGTGTAGGTCAACATGACAGAAAAAGGCCAAGATCAGATCAGATCAAATCTCACATTAACAGTTGGTAAAATGACACTGGAGTCATCTCACTGTAGGCTTCTCTACACGTTGGAACTGATCTGTCAAACTAGCACACAATGCAACATGTTAAGGAATACTGTTTACTCACATTGTTCCAAATCCATGGCTTCCTTTCCTTTCCCTGTAGGCCAGTAAAAAGAGAGTGGGCTTTAATTCTCATGTACATTAAATTGAATGTTGAAATTCTAAGAAGTGATAATGACTTTTGCACCGTTTTTTCACAATAGTGAGTGTTGAAATATTAGTTCCAAAACCCTTTACAGGGCTCATTGCGATTTTTATGGGCTTTATAACTTACATCCTTTTAAATACAGAAGTAGCCTAAAGTACACGAGGTTTGCGGTATAACTTGACAATTTTGTTTTGACGAAATTAACTGCACTAGAAGGAGAAAACTAAAAAGAAATGAGGAGTAATTCTAGGCTGATTTACGTGAGGTGATCTCTACAACGCCGGCCAATAACGTGCGTTTGAACACCTGCGTATGTGTGCGTGCTTGCGTGCGTGCGTATGTGTGTGCTTGCGTGTGTGAGAGAATACCAATAATTACATTCATATATAATTATATGTAAGCTAAATGTGTAAACCAGGTCCCTGCTAAAAAACAAATATAACATGTAAAACCATAAAACAATAGAACATTTAAAAACAATAGCACCTGTTACAGTGCAAAACTGATCGTTTGTGAAAATATAATTATATAGTTCATCAGATCATATCCAGAAAGTCTTTCAACTTACCTGAGCCTTCTTCAGTCGATTGCCCCACCCCATTATTTGATTGACGTGCATGTGCTCCACGCTCACTCATTCATTAATTCATTCATTTTTATTCGGCTTAGTCCAGAGTGCCCAAAGTCTATAAAACTCTGTCCAAGAGGGCAGGTGTCCTGCTGAGTTTAGCTCCAACTTGCTTCAACACTGCCAGGAAGTTTCTAGTATATCTAGTAACAGATTGGCTGGCTCAGGTGTGTTTGATTAGGGGTTGGAGCTAAACTCTCCACACCACCGGCCCTACCAGGACCGAGTTTGGCCACCCTTGGCTTAGTTTATTCGCCACAGCTGAATGAATCGCCAACTTATTCAGGTAATGTTTTACACCCCCAAAGCAAATCCAGAGTAAGAAAAAGTACTAAATTGCACCTTTTGTACCTTGTATTTTTATTATTAGTAATATTTTGTTCTTTTTTTATATTATTCGATCTTGTTTTCTACATTTTATCTTGATGCTAAATAATAATAACATGTAAAGCACCTAGTAAAACTTTTGAAAACATTTTTTTAAGTTGAATTTACAACTAAACATAATAAATGAACTTGTTTTTTTAAAACTAAATCTTTACTGTTCTGATAGCTAGACTGGTCCATGATTGAAGGTGGGGGGCACAATTTGCGCAGATGTAATAATTATGTTCAAATAAAAAAAATTAGACCCTCACCATAGGCTAAAAAATATGATAGAAAACAATGTTAAATACAATAGCATCATTTAGGTATTTATTTGGGGGCCCTCAGATTTCCTGGGGCCCTAAGCAGCTGCTTACCTTGATTATTGGTTAAATCCACCCCGGACTAAGGTCAATTTAGTTTAATTATTTAATCTATACTACATGTGTTTGGACTGTAGAGAAAACCGGAGCACCCGGAGGAGGACGACACAGAAATGCTAACTGACCCAGCAGAGACTTGAACTAGCGACCTTCTTGCTGTGAGGTGATGGTGCTAACCACTGAGCCATTCAAGTTCATTTAACGTAAATTAATTTAGCATGCATGGCATTAATAAATCTAAACTTCAATACATACTTTTTTTGGTTAATAATAGTTGTATCAATAAAAGAGACTTTGATTAGATCCTTCTACATTTTTGTACATAATATAATGTAGCTAGCTACTATGGCTAATAAAAATTAAGCTAATAATGCTTTTATGATATAACATATTGACAAAATATTCTACTAATAAGAACTTTCAAATAACGATTTCCCTTTTCTCTAACGTCCTTTATGTATAGTATTTATTTCAGTTAATCTTTTGAGAGATAGTTTCTATCTGATTGAAGGAGAGGTTTATAGACTTTTATGTTTAATTACTAATGTCATATTCTTATATGTTAAGCTATCCATACCAAATTAAACAGCATGACAATGAATTTAAAAGAAGAGAAAAAACTATTTTTTGGGGGGAGAAATTCAGTATGCACGCATTTGACACAAATCTGCCTTTTACCTCAGCTGTGATTAATTCAGCATGTGGCATTGCTGGAAGCTTTAGATAATGATGGAGGCTGTGCTCCTTATGTTCAGTACACACGCTAATGTGTCCGCCTGTAACCTGTCAGGATTTCACAGTCCACTCAATCACTATAAAAAGAGCTCACAAATGGAAAAAAAAAGTGCATGTCTTGCTCCTCAGCAGGGGAAAAAGAAAGAATGGATCTGGCCCCCACAACTAACAGCATTCAGATGAAACGCTCTGGTCATAAAATGATAATAATGACAATAATCCTTAAAATGGTTTACCATTAAAATGTCAACATTTTTGTCAGAGGCTTAAATATTTTAAATATGTTTAGAGAATGCAGAACTCAAACATGTCTATTATTTACACACCAACAAAAAGAAAAGAGTTTAAGTATTTATTCAATATATATGCACATACAATAAACAAAACGCATAACCTGAAGTAACAAATGCAAGTAAAAATTGTTTCCAAAAAAACTAAACTAAAAACAATCATTGGTTTGCAAACAATAGAAAAAAATATTTTCTACTAAAAAGGGGGACTTTATTTGTACAATCTGAAAAGACTTTGATTAAAAAGCTGGAAGAAAACAATTAATTACATATAGACACTTTTGCAAAGATACTGCATTCACTGAATTCCCCAGTGGCAGAAGCTGCTGAACTGTCAGAATTCTGTAGCATAGTGGAATATTGTATTCTGAATGAATAATAATATTTAAGAAAATGCATATAAAGTTCATAATTGCATTTTATTTTTTAAATAATATACACATTTGAACTATGAAATGTTTGGTTGAACTGTAAACAGTTGAGCTTTGTTAGTTAACATAACTTTGTATTGTCAGACTCGGCAGAGAGCCAGAGCACAGGGCACTGCGATAAGTAATTAACTCCTGTGACTTGCGTTGAACTTAATTGTTCCCTTCCAGTTGCACTTTGAAATAGTATCCATTTATTAGATCCTCAAAAAAAGGACATACATGCACATAATCAACCAATTTAACAAGTTATTTCTCATTAAATGGTTAAAACTTCATAGTCAGACACCACAGCTCATTATATAAAAAAACAAGCTCGTTTGGAAGAGAATTGCTGAGCCACTTTACAAACCTCTACAACAAAAAGCCTAGACACCATTAAAAATTGAAAAAATAGGAAGGAAGCTTCAATATTAAAACTATCCACTAACGGTTTTATTCTTAAAAAGGGTTGATAGTGTGTTTACATTTGTAGTTTGGTTCTCTAGCTTCTTTTTGCCCAGATCACATATATATATATATATATATATATATATATATATATATATATATATATATAGTCAACGTTTGGCATTAGTTTTTGATTTTGTTTTTATGTTTTGTTATTAAAAAACAAAACAAAATTTGTTAATTCTTTTTATTACAGCTTTTTATTGTTTGTTCCTGGTTCACGTTAACATTTTTCAATTTGTCCATCCAAAAAAATAAATAAATAAAAAAATGGCTTTTACAAAATTTATTCTGAACCAGAACTTACAGGTAATCCAAAACTGTGCGATGGGCAAAACATGCTCACTTTATGTATCGTACATACATGTGATGATTTTTTAATCAGTTTCTATAAAGAGCTTATAAAATGTGTAAAAGAAATACAAGGAGATACGTTTGGGCTACGTTCGCACTGCGAGGCTTAGTGCTCAAATTAGATTTTTTCTCAGATCTGATTTTTTTGCATGGCTGTTCACACTGCTCTTATACATATCTGATTTGCAGTGTGAACAGATCATGGTCCTAAACTGACTCGCATGCGCAAAAGTCTGACGTTGTCTAATAATGCTTATATGATTATTGCCCTTTTCACCGACAACCGTGATACATTTTATGAACTGTAAAGGGTTGTTCTTCTACAACTAGTGTGCATTTCAGCATTTAAGTCCTAAAATAAGTCTCCTGTGATAAAAACACTGATCATTTGTGAATTATGACAACCGCGGTGCGCATCTCTCCAACCAGCGGTGTAGTAAACTCATCAAGGCGGAGTTGGCTTAATTCCGTTGGCAGAGTTATTTCATTTTACTTCGTTATAAACAGCAGACACGTGCAGAAGGGGGGTTTGGGTGCTCGAGCACCTTCCCTTTTTTTCTCTCGGAGAGAAAGTTCCCCCTCCTTTGCACGTGGATCCCCTATCTGCAACACCCACAACGTTTTCGGCTTCGCAATCAACCCGTCCCTCAATCGTTAACCAGATTAGTTAACAAGCACCAGTTATGCCTTCAAAATCTTTTTCAACATGAACAACCAACTCTCTGTGGTAATCGCCCTGTGTGCTATTCTAATGTGCTGCTGAGGGGTACAGTAGATGATGTTTACAGCACAGAATGATGACGCAAGTCGCTCGAAGATTATGTAAAAGTCACATGAAATCTGACATAACAGTTCACACTGCGCTCGCATTGCAAAACATCAGATCTGTGTCTGATTTAAGACTACATATGAAAGTGGCACAGATCTGACCTGAAATTATCAGATTCCATGCAGTTTGGGCTGTTGAGTCACATGAGGGGGGAAAATCTGATTCGGTTCACATTTGCCTGCAGTGTAAACGTAGCCTTGGACAACTTTATTGAACTTTAATGAGCCACATCGTATCTATAAAAGAAAAAAGAAACAGGTGTGCTTGAGCATTCTGTCATATCTGTGGTCATCCCATGTCCTATTATTGGTGCATTTAGATGCCTTTGGTCCATGGACATTCATTTTTAAGTAGAATTTTAGCAGAGTTCATTTGGAAGTGGGCTGCAAGTACATACACACCAATTTAAACAATGTACACTTACTTTGTACACTAACCAAACCAAAACTGCCAAGTGTGAACACACCAGAAAACTTCATATGGTTTGTTTTTCTCCATTTAAATGATAATGTAGAATTTATATGAAGCATTTCATTGGGATTGTAGCATGTATGAGGTAGGAGTGGGTGGGAGGAACCAATGATTGTCAAGAGAATTGAAGTTGCTGCCAATCACTACTTCAATCACAAATTTCCAGTGAAATGTTTGACAAGATTCCCGGAGGCATTTAAATACATCTGCGATTTGCTTGACAAGGTGGCAACAAATTATATATTCCAGTTTCGCAAAATAAAATATTCTTATTACCACCTATAAAAGAGCCTTCATGTGTTTCTAAATTATAATGTGCACTTACTGTCACAATAAGCATTACAATTGAACGCCATTGCAAAAATCAACGCTGAAAGTGCCTCAATGAGACAGCTTTAACATTTTTATTTCACATTCAGTTTCATCAGCAACAGCGGGGTGCAGAGAGCAATGTCTTGTATTATTTATTCCACCCTTTTATTTGCAACTCCAGCACATAGTGTAAGCTCTTTAGACTTCACTGTAGTTTTCCCCATCCATCAGATAATGTCATTTTCATTAGTTGGGCAGAGGAGTCTGTGTTCTTAGAATCCAGCTTGCTTGAGTGGTCCAGGGACATCAAATGAATAGTGACAGAGTCCCATCTCATCTTGACCATTCAGATGTGTGCTGAGAACCATGCTGTGTTTAGACTAGATTGGAGAATGTGTGAACATTTTGCCACAAACAAATCTAATCATCTTGAGTGTTTTAAAACATTTTCAACTACTTAAGGGTGAAAGAGGTAAAATGAAAACAGTGCAGGCTAATCAGCGTGAATGGTGTACCTACTGTCAGTAATCAGAAAAGCACAGTATCGGGCTCTGGGTCTGAGAATGAGGTGAAGCTCTTCTGAATATCACGAGTAAGAAGTGATTCTTGCTGACACTGAGAAGGAGGGACACAGGGAACCTCAAATAATGGAACAGATCCCTTTAAACCAGCTGCAGGGTAAAGACCTGGAGTCCAAAAGAAAGAGGAGAAGATGAGTGATACCAGAAAAGGCCAAATGTCTAGAATAATATTACAGTTCTGGTTATTTGAACTGGGCTTCATAATTTAACTAACACGGTCACAGCCCTGAACAAATGTTCTGTACTGTTTCCATAGTAAATTGATCCTGCTGCATTTTTAATCCTTATTATAATCATAAAACATTGTTTTCACATGGTGCACCAAGGTATAATAAAGAACATTATTGTAATACATGCATTGTATACATGCCCACAAAACCATGGCATCTGTAGTTCCCCCAAAATTTAACATTTAATCCCTATTTACTCACTCTTAAGTGGTTCCAAACCTTTAAGGGTTTGGTTTCACTTGAGCACAAAAGAAGATATTTTGAAGAATGTTCAAACAGTAGCGATTTACATCAATAATCATGAAAAATATGCCTACTAACATTGTTTGAAATATACTTGTTGGTCAAAATAAGAAATAAATATTTGGATCAAGTGGGGGGTGAGGGTTAACAACTCTTTAGAACAGTAGTTAATTTTGCAACATTTAGGGCTCTACTTTAACAGTCTAGGCGCAAAGTCTGAAGCATTATGGGCGTGTCCGAATCCACTTTTGCTTTTTTAAAAGGCACATAGTTTACCCCCTTTTTAAGATTTAATACTAATATTATGGTTCTTCTGATTGTGCCAGTTTAGGTTTAGTTCAAAACACAGTTCAGATTTTTTATTATAATGTGTTCAAAAGTGTTATTTTGGGGGCGTGTACACAGCTTGCTGTTTTAGGGGCGTGTTGCTTCACATGAAAATAAGTTTCAACTTCCTTCCCAACGTAACAAGGGGGTGGAGCCAAGAGCTCCCCGCTCTGTGTTTGGCAAAAGACAGGCAGACACATAGAGAAGCAATTTGCAACATGAGTGAGAGAATCAGCATTCAGCCGTACATGTACGACTCGGACACAGACCAAAGCAGAGAGTACACAATCATCTGTCTTTGAATTGTATAGTTTTACAGCCAACTGTTACAGCCAATTGCTAGTTCTGAGCATGTACACCAAGACTAATAACCACGCACACTGAATTAACTTTTATCTGGACTGAGGCACCAGATGCGCAGCTCAAGGGCGTGACACGGAACACCAGACACGCACATTCGGATGTTATTTTATATGAAACTATTCGGATAGAGCTCTGTGGCACGGCAGAAATATGAAGTGTCCCGAATCGTGGCTGGGTGCCACGGACAGCCGCCGGCTCGATGCACCGTTGTGTGTACCCTGACAGAAAGCTTGCACTTTCCAGCTACACCTAATTAAGATCACAGGGAGCTTCTGTGACCGTGAGAAAAAACGATTGAAGTTTAGTGTAGACGCAATGAAAAGTACACGTTTGCAGACCTACGTACAAATAAACTAACTTACAAACAATAATTCCGATTACAGCGATCATGTGATGAATGTTGATCTTATGTTGAGCCCAATGAGCCTTACATCTAAAAATAAAGCAAGGGTTTTCCTTAAGTGACATCGCTTGAACTTTCAACCTGAAAATGGCAGACGTGAAACAACAAACTGAGGATATGATCGTGACGCACAACTGTCAATCAATATTGGTGGGTTGGGGGACCGGACTTCTACATCAAGTTGCAGTCAATCTAAAATAGCTCCAATTGGTCCACCGTTTTTATGTTGTTAAATTGAAAAAAAAAAAAAAAAAAAAAAAAAAGTGTGTGTGTTTATATCACCTCAATATGACGTTCTATACACTATATCTACACACATGTCTGTCCAAACAGCTTGAAAAGTAGATTTTTCACCATAGGTGCCCTTTAAGGATAGAAAAATATGATTTGCGCCACAGCGCATGGTCTTGCAGGGTTGTGATTATTCTCTTAACAAGTTATGTGTGTGTTTTAAAGCATAATGTCCATTAAATCAATCAGAATTTCATCTCCCATTTCCTTTAAGATTCAGTTGAGTCACGCCATGGCACGTTTGCTATTTACAAGGTGACTTTGTGAGTGGAAAAACTGAAAAAAACAGTTACAGCACGAGGATAAAGAATGAGCCTCCTCTATTCACCCTTTTTTGTTTTGCTTCGCTTTACTTTTGTGGATAAGGAAACAGTGTTATACACACTCCACTGAAGACATTCATTAGCCTATATATTTATTTTCATTTGTTAAGCACAAAGATTTGTTCCTGGATTTCTCAATTCAGTTCTAACTTCCAGCAAACAAATTAATCAACAATAATAATTAAGTTTGGTCAAAAAAACTGAGTTATATCCAAACTCATTATTATATTCATATGGCCCATATAGTGATGCATATATCTCCAAAACCCAACAGTTGGACAAATCTAAACTTGTTTTTATTAATGTTGGAGCCATTTATGGGTTGCAATTTTCTTTTGCACCACTAGAGGGTGTATAAGGTATTTATGCTCTCCTCACGACAAGTGAGAGATGTGTCGAAGAAGAAGATCAAACAAACTTTTTGATCGCCAAGCTGTGAGAACGGGTTTTGATGTTTTACTCTTAATTTTGACAAAATGGACAATAAATGGATTTGAATATCCAACTTTATTTACAAAGGTATGGACATATCACTTTTTTTATTGGCCCGTTCAAACAACAAACGCGTCAGAACCAAGACCCAAATATTCGCATCTACAATTAAAACTAATTTAAATATGCATATGTTAAATAACACTACTACTAATAATAACATTATACAAATTCAAATTGTCATGAATAAACTGAAAAGCCCCTCAAGATGAGGCACAGTTTTTATATTTATGCAGAAAATAATCTTTTTGTAACATTTGAATCCTTTTTTTTTTTTCATTTGTGAAGATATTTGTGTATTGCTGTACATCCTGTGTATAATAAGCAATGTTTAAGCTTGCTTTCAGTTGGTTAATGGTGCAGTCTATTTCAGTTCTTTAAAATAGCAGCGCACCAGTGATGCACCTTACCACATCTATTATAGACCAACATGCCCATGAGTTCACAAAGTGGCACAAATGGATTTGCTATTTAAACAATGTGGTACAAAACATGAAAATTAGGGTTGCACTGGTCTAAAAATAGCAAAAAATTGTGCCAAACACGCCTTGCCCTTTTTGCGCCGGGTGTATGATAGAGCCCTTAGTGTTACAACATACAAGGCTAACATTTTTCTTACCTTGTTGTTTTTGGTCTAAATTTGAACTGTCATCATCTTTAGTAATGCTGCTCTGCTTCCTTTGGCTTCCTTTAAATTCTTTTTGTAGACCTGTCTTATTCATTGACACTACAGGACGCATTGGGACATAAGCTGGTTCCCATTCATAACTCTCATCCACAGAGTCTCTTCTAAAAAAAAATGTAAGAAAATAAAAAAATAATGTGATACATGCAAGTAAAGTTGCAATGTTTAATCCAAACAGCATGCAATCACCATGGCAAAATTTAAGTGAAAAAGATTGTATTAAAATGGCAGCATAACAAATACTTTTGGTATTACCAATTTAATTGCCAAGATACTGAATTGCCATTGGCACTACATCTACAAACCATGATATTCAATGCAAAATAAATAACTAAAACTGTAAAATGAATAATGAATGTTAAGTGAAAGACAAAGGGAATTCAGTCATACCTTCCATTTTGTTCAGGATCTAATAGAGCTGCTTCATCTCTGTCACTGTCCTCTGTTGTCTCTGGTGAGCTGGTGAGTGGGGGGCTGAGAGAGAACTGCCTGCTATTAGGAGCATCCATGCTTCCTCTGCCACTGCTTTGACTTCCATAACTTCTGTAGCTTCCTTCTGTCTCAGAACCCTTCCTATATATGTTAATTTCTACATCCATGTCCTGCCCATCCATGTCTTCCTCTTCTCTGCCTGCCTGGTGGCTTTGGTTACGTCTTTCAGAGGGCAAGGTTGACAGGGAGGGATAATAAGCCCGGGGCAAGCTAGAACCTCCTGGTGGTAAGGCGGTATGGGCATTACGTTCGGACATTAGGTTTCTTTGGGAATGTTGATCATTAGTAAAGCCATTGGGAGATTTAGAGGCCCGACGTTGAGGAACGTGTGATTGAGATCCGGAAGGCACAAATGAATGGTCTTGCAAGTTGGGACTGCTTTTTGGCTTATTTGCAACAGAGTTGGGTCTGGATACCAAGGGGGACATAGTACAATCTTGAGGAAGTGTTAATGAGTCTATCCAGGCATCAGGGGTCAAAAACTGATCCTTGTATAATTTGGAGTCCAAACTGTGGGTGCTCTGGTGTTGATCCCGAATCTTTGACCCTATGCTATTTGTCCTCTGAGGCATTCTTTCAGAAACATTCATTGGAGACTCAGTTTTGCTTGACCAGTTGTTCAGCTTCTTATCCTTTCTTGAACTGACATGTCCTGGCTTTACCAATCTGTCCATTTCGAGCTCTGATAACCTGGGTCTGTCGTAGTCTAGAGTTTCATAACTGTGTTCCGACCTGACCGTGGACCTTGAATTTGCATGCTGGCTCTCAAAATCAGGTCCGTCCACACTCATCTCTGAATAATCACCAACTGGATGAATTTCTCTATTGCTTCTTTGTACAGTACGCCACTGCTGATCACCTGGAGATGGATAAATGCATGGGTCAAAATAATGCTGACTTCTGCTGGAGGTCATGCGGGCTCTAGGCCCTTCACAAGTTTGAGGATTTTCCAATTTGTAGATTAACTCATCTATTACACAATACCGACTTGATTCAACAGGTGTCTTGCTTCGTCTTTGGTCCCATGTATGTGATTTTCGATGTTCCTCTCTGTCTAAACTTCGAGACCGTTGGTATCTAGACCTCTGGACAGAATTATAACCTTGATTCTGCCTATATTTGATATCCTTTTCATAAGATTTATGTAGAGGCAATAAGTTTGCAGAAGAAATCTTGTGTCTTTCTTCCCAAGGAATGCAAGAGGCAGCTCTTCTTTTGAACATGCCGGTGTTCTCAGATAAAATGCTTTGTCTCATGGTTTGGTACTTAACCTGAGGTGTTGAAGCTTCTTGAGTTTTCCAAAGATTTCCATACTCATCATCTGTTTGTTCATGGCTAGATGAATTTAGATCAACAGTGTATTTGCGCAATTCCCTTTCAAGCTCCTCTCTCTCACGGGCCAAAGTCAAGCATCGGCTTAGGTTTCCTTGTTCCCTTTCATGTTCCATCTGCAAAACCAGAGTACTGGCTGTAGAGTGGTTGGTATCTCTTTTTGGGGACTTCTGACCTAGAGTACTTTCTGAATGGGCATAGAGATAGGAGTCACTGCAATCTGACGAGAGACTTGTCTGGTCTGGTACATCCATAATCTCTTTCTCCAGAATGGGCATGTAATGGCCATTCAAAGAGAGGTGCTTAACCACAGCTCGCGTTCTGCTGGAAGAAGGAATATTTGATCCGAAAGGTGGAAGGTCCACCGAAAGTACAAATGGTGGCCTTCTCTGTTCATCCATGTAGGATCTCAAAGACTGGGATTTCTGTATTCTGAAGCTCCTGCTTCCATCTGATGCCTGATGGGAATTCTGATTTGGGTTTCTTTTAATTTGAGAACTGAAATTACTGTCACCTTCACCAGGATGGACAACAAAGCGCCCATCAGGCCCTCGGTGGATAAACTCCACAGAGGACACAGGAGCAAGTGATGACAATTGGAGATGACTCTCAGGAAGGGAATGGTGGGATGGAGGGTTAGCTTGAGGCAGATGATGCTGGCGTAGGTCGTGAAAATCACTGTGGCTAAACTTGTCTAGGGAGGAATGATTGGACGCGGAGGAAGAGGTGGAGAGTGGATGAGCTGGTAGAAGCCTTTGCTTCAGGGTGTCATCAGGGATGCTAAGGGCATAGGTAAGAATTTAGTACATTTCACGATGGCTACAATGAAAAACAATATTTTGGACAAAGGAAAAAGTTTTTATTAGGTGAGGACTATGCACTTACTTCACAGATGCATTTTTATCCATTGCAGGAGGGAGATCTGAAGGAGGGAAATGATTTTACAATGAAATGAATGTGAGGGTAAATGACCATGCATGAAGAATAAATTGGGATAAAGGAATGAGAGCAACCTCCATAGTAAATAACGAAGCCTGAAAAAGCAGCTCAAAACAGTTTAAAGTGTTGTTTCTTTACCCTTAATATTCTGCCTGCGCCTTCTGCTTCTTTTGTAAGAAATGAAACAAGCTATCGCCAAGGTCAGGACAAGAACGAGGCAAAGGAGTCCCACTCCACCCATAACACCAGCCATTATATGGTTGGGAAAGTCTAGGAGGCGAGAACTGGCTGGGCGCATATTCATTCCTGTGAAACCCAAAAGAATTTGTCACATTTTATTGGACTGATAGGTTAAAAGAGTCAGTGTGTTTCTTGAAATTGATGTAAGAGTAGTATAGAGTGCAAATAATATATATTCTAGGAATTTTTAAAGGAAACATTATAGGCTAGTGAATCGAACAAGGAATATGTAAAGCACTGACCAAAGGTGGAGACACTGATTGATGGACTGGGCATGCTCAGCTGATCTCCATGCTGCGAGAGAAGCCTCAGCTCATACTTGCAGTCCTTCAGAGAGTTATACACCATAATTTAATGACAAAATAAGGACGAAAGGAACGGAAAGAAAGATTGCATTTATTAAAACTGACAAGTTGACTGATTCATGAGAATTTGAGATAATGTTTTTCAGAACACTTACCTTACATAACCCTGGAAGAAAGATTTTACTTTCAGCTGGGCTAATGTCTTCTTTCAGATTATCCCACTCTCCTCCTTCGAGGCGTGACTGTACGACAAAGCTGTCAATAGGTGGAGATTTTGAATGAGGCGCAGACCACAACAGAAGAAATCCCTCTGAACTCTTATTGACTGAGAGATTTGTAGGAGGTTCCAGCTTGGCCACAACAGGAAGTGCATCTGTATGGGGAAATATTGAATAAGAGGAGGAAAGACTGAAATGAACAGCTTGTTTTTATTCAATTATCCTTACTGTGCAGCATAAGCACAGATGGTGAAGCATTAATTTGGGTCAGCATGAGGTAGCCATCACGCAGGCTACAACAAGTGTGCTTTTATCAGCTTAGGCTACCTATATGCTGGTGCACATGTTGGTTACATTAACACTGAGTTTTTTGCTGCACTGTATATACATTATTTTGTACAATAAAAATGGCATCCCCTTTATACTTAATAACAACATAACAAATCATGGTGAAAACTTAGCTCTAACAGCCATTTCAACCTGTTTCCAAGTTTCTAATGCACAGCTGATGTTTACCCAGAGTTGTGACGGTGATGATCTCACTGAAGGGCCCAGTGCCAATTTTATTTTGGGCCATGACACTGAACTGGTACTCAGTGGCAGGCAGCAGATTGGTGACCAACAGACTGTTCTCAGTAGAGAGGTCTGAGAAAGACAACCACTCTTGCTTTTCTTCAGTCCTTCCAGCTGACACCTGTTTATACCTAGAAAAAGAAGAAGTTTTGTTTGAAGAAGATTCAAAATTAGAGTTATGAAGACAGGCATGAATCACCCACTGAAAAATAGTGTCACTTCTAACTAATGAAACCTATTTTTCCAGTGACTATTTTTGTGTCAAAACACTGCAATGCAGCATTACAAAATGCAACAGTTCTTTTTAGATTTAGAAATATGCTATTAGCTTCAGAGTTACTTTTGAGTGAATTAATCATTTTAACTATGTATAAACAGTACTATGCATAGGTACTTTGACCAGATGTGGTGTTGTAGCCATGTTTTGATCTATTCATAAGACATAAGCAGAAAGTGTAGAGAATACATGTACACATGAGTTTTTCTCTCCAAATACGATTTTACAAGTATATAGGGGTCATTGCACCATTGCGTAAACATTTAAGACACCCTGGAGTTTTGAAATTTTAACAGATTTGTGCACGTGTTGAGTATCAGTTAAGACAATGTTAGCACCTGATAGCTTTAGTTGTAGGGAAAACTGGATGATTTTGAGCTTTTGTCAGCTAATTTCATCTTCCAGGTTAAAAAAATTTTTTGGGACAGAAAAAAAAATTATGATGTAGCGCGAATCTGCTAGTGGAGTGATGATGTGTCTGTTTCTCATTATTATTCATAGTGGAGTTTTCTGATCCTATGAGAAGACCCTGCTTCGTAATTATAAATGAAAGCATGTGTTTTCCGAAGCCAAGGCAGTCCTGTCAAGCTGTAAGACCCAATGATTGAGTGAGATCGTGTCTGCACACGGCACGGGTCGTGTGTGTTTGTTTCTATGATCCATGGGGTTTGTTGCATGGTTTTTCCTATCTGTTCGGGCCAAGACAGCAAAGCATTTTTGTCTGGAGAGCTGTATTAGAAATGATCATTTTATCAGTTGAGTTTGTTACAATTCAGACTGCCATCAGTGCTGCCATGTTTGCCTATGTTTAAAATCCTCCAGATTACTGGTAGGGCTAATAATTGAAATGGAAAGATTAAGAGACCGGCTGCACTGCTATCTACTGTGTTTGCATTCAGACCCAGGGATTGAGGAGGAGAAAAGTCCTTCTCATTTATAGTGTTTATTTAAACATTATTATATTTATAATGATATAACAAATTGTATTAATGAATATGAAATTAAGAATAACACATGTATCAGGGCATTAAATTACTTACAGTTTGTTTCTTTGTATTTTAACTTTGTAAACCATAAAATCATGGTTCTCCTCATGGTTTGTGTCTAATTTTGTGAGCTAACTGAAAACAATTGTCTCTTTTTCCCCTGCTCTGCCAGCCACGCCCCCTCCTCCCTCTGCTCACAGTGCTCCACGCTCATCATGAAGCATTTTTTTTTTTTTTTAATTCTGGGGTGCACTTGAACTGAAAGAGGGCATCATATATAATAATGAGCCAAAACATTTGCATAGTAATGTAAATACTAGTTTTAAAAATAAGAATAAGAAAAAAGTTATAATGTTGGAGGCCTTGGTTGGCTACAGTTAAGCAAAATGCTAAATAAGATATGATGCCAAGCATCTTTAGCCTCAATAGGATTGAGTGTCTTGTTCAATTCTGTACCAAAGAGGTATAATGTTAGTGTGTTGTCCAATGAAATTTGCAAAGCCTTGCCTGTGAAGTCCTCTATTGCTTTCCAGAAATATTATACTACTCTTTTTACAGAAAATCTGACACACTGACATTTCACATTTACATTCATAGTGATAAATACTTAAAGCAGACACCTACCAGACAGTGAATGTCTGCGTATATCCTCCATCAAAGCCAGCCACCCAGGAAACATTGGCCTGGTTTGTTCCCGGGATCACAGATACTGACGACACTGCATGAGGACTTGTACCTGTGAATGAGAAGGAAACAAGATATGTGTGACACATGATGTGTGACAAATGTGTGACACATGAGACGTGACAGCAAGTGGCAAGATCAACCTAGATCACTACTCAACTTTGCAAAGCTCAGAGGACATGAGACAAGAATCTATTTAGAGTGTTCATTTAGCTGAAATTCAACCCAAAATGCTTGTGCGCTTATCAACCCCTATGTTTTAATATTCCTTTAGAGAATATAATAAATAAAGATTCTGTCATAATATCACAATAGTTTCTTTTGTTAAACAGAAAAGTAGATATTTTGAAAATAGCTGAAAACCTGTACTGCACCATTGACTGAAACAGTATACAAAAGTAAATGGTTACATGTTTTCAGCTTTCTTCAGAATATCTTGTTTTGTGTTCAGCAAAAGAAAGAAAGACATAAAGGTTTTAACTACTTGTGGGTAAAATAATAGAGTAAATAGTGAGTAAATTAGAATATTAATAAGTATTGGCGTGGCGCAATACTTGTTTGCTAGTTTCAGCTTGGCGCAAGAGTCGTTTTGAGGCGTTGCGCTACGCTGTTTAATTAGCAAATGCATTAGCGCTCATTTGTGCGCCCATAGGCGTTCTGGTCTAAAAAGGGAGGCGTTCTGAGGCACACTGTCGGCGCATTGCTATTTTGAGAAATTATATTAGATTTTTCATTAGACCAAAACAAACCCGGTCTAAACTCCAGCGCAGAGTTGCGCCTCGCTTACGCACTGCTTAATACGCACAAGAGAGCAATAGGCAAATATCTTTACATATAAAAAATTTAAATATTAAGGATATATATATAGGATATAATACGAATAGATATAGGATATAAATATAAAGGATTAAAATATAACAAAACATATTATTTTCTAGCCTACATAAATATGAAAAATCTCTGCTTTTATGTCTTCTTCATCTTGGGAGGCTTTTTCAGTTAATTCATAACAATTTGCTTTTGTATAATGTTATTATTAGTAGCAGTATTATTTATTATATTCATATTTATATTTGTTTTATTAAAAACAAGCTTAGATTTGCCCACATATAAGGTTTTAGATCATATGGGGCACAGCATGTTTTTTAGTATATAACTCAGGTTTTTGAACACACTTGGTCATTATTGTTCATTTATTCGTTTGCTGGAAATTAGAACTGAATTTAGAAATAGTTTTGAAACAAATCTTTGCGCTTAACAAACGCAATTAATTATTTATAGACTAATTGATGTCTGTGCGTAAAGGTTTCCCTATCCAAGAGCGAAAGTGAAAGTAGTTCCATTATCTCTCATTCTCACGCAGTAGATGCTCTGTTTAACAGTTTTCTGTTAAAAAAAACTGTTAACTGTTTGCTTGTGAAATGCTCATTTTCTCCACTTAGACTTACTTTGCGTCCTGTAAATAGCGAATGCGCTCTTGGCGCGACGCAGCTGACTCTTAAAGGGAATGTGAGATGAGACTCTAATTGGTTTACTCTCAAAACACACCTATAACTTATTAAGAAAATAAACTCAACCCTTTTAGACCATGCGCCACGGCGCAAAGCAGATTTTCCCGTCCGTAAATTAGCAAAAATGCGTTCTGACACGCCCTGAAAGCGTTTGTGCCCTGCGTTTTGTGCTCTGCACATGGACCGTCAAAATAGAGCCCTATGTGGTAATTTTGAGTACTTGGATATACAAAATAAATGTTATACAACCTATTTTTAAGGGGATCAGAGGCTTTTGACAATACATTAGGGGCTTAAGTCTCCAAAGACCCCACTCACAACGTCACTGTTCCCTAACATAGTATTTTTTCCAAAGGATTAATGAAATTGTTTCCAACGTTCATCAAAGTACTTTTTGAAGAACGTGTGTTGAAATAAAATGTATAAGTGTTGAAATAAACAAGAAACTCCTAAAAGTCTGAAACCACTTGTGGGTGAGAAATTTACATATTTGGATAACCTCCTTTAAGCGCTTTACAAAAAAGCTTTTTTGGATGGAAGTATCCAGTTATTTACATTTACAATAAACATCTCAACAACATTAAAATGCTAGAGGGTTGCATGTGTTCATTCTGATATAGTGTGCTTCATATCTTACCAAGCACAAGAACCATTGTTTTGATGGAAACAGTGGCCACTCGATTGCTGGAGCTGCACTCCCACTCCCCCTGGTGGTCTTTACTGAGAGGATGAAGAATGAGAGAGCCATTCCCTGCCAGAGTGAACAGCGAACGAGTGGCTGCACCAATCTAAGAGAAGCAGATCCATAATGAAGCATATAATGAGATTAAACAGCAGTTGTAATTGAAAACTGATTGGAATGGAGAAGGGCGCTTCCAAATATTTGGAGAAAATTAAAATTCACAGTTTTTATGCACAGAATTGATGCTCTTTTTCTAATGTGATTTTCTATGTTAATCAGCACAGTTGTAACATTTTACACTTGAACATTTTAACTGGTAGCATTACTTTTACTGGTTAAATATGTGTGTACCTCAAACACAGACATTTTTGGTATGTTGATTGCCATCCAAAATAATTTCAACTAGTCCCACAGATTAAAAAAAAACTAACAAACGTGGAGTGATCACTTTTAATTGAAGTCAGTTGATCATTTAAATCAGACTAAGTGTTTAGACAGTAAACACAATGTTTCTACTGATAAGGAACTAAAGATGAACTTATTGTAAAGTAATTACTAATATAATAAAGAAATGGAAAAATGGAAACAGTGTATAGTAAATATTCGGAGAGGGTTTGGGTTAAAAAATTAAATAAGTGTATATGCCTTGTCTTTAAAAGTAAGGTGATATTGTGTTTGTGTGAAGCCATGTATTTTATTTTATTTTATTGAAGCTTTCACAGAATAAATGGCATCCTTCACTTGTGTATTGACACTTGTTCACTAAAATTTGTGAGGTTTGATATAAAAACTGTCAGGATAATCTTCTATGTAAAATGGAAATAAATAAAAAAAATTCAATCCAACTCTAATCCTTAACCATAGACTCAACCCTATACTGTAAAAACTCAACAGTCAACTTTATCAAATGAACTGAGTGTAGGTAACTCAAATTGTACTGAAAGTTAATTCTACTCATTTAAAAAGAGTTGTAAACTCAGTGTTAAAGGTTGGAAGTTAATACCTCATTACTTCAACTTAAGTGGAGTAAGTTCACAGTACTCATATAGATTAGTTTTTTTAAGTCAAATAGTTTGTAGTGATCGGTTTGCTCAAACAGTTTCAGAGTTGTCTTGACTTATTCGTTTTTTTCAGTACTCAGTTGGTTTCAGTTCTCTTCATTTATTTGGTTTTACTGTGCTGACATTGCTTTGTTTACTCAAATGGATTACAGTTCACAGTACTCATTGGAATTAGTTTTGGAACTTAAATGGTTTGCTGTAATCGCTTTCCTCAAATGGTCTGGGTTACCTTATGTTTTACAGTGTAGCAATACATTATTTACAAAATCAGCTGGAAATAAAAGGTTAATAACCATGATGATCAAGCACCAAAACCAGATTTTAAGACTAAACCTTACATAAACTGTAACTCATACACCAAAAATCAGAATAAAAAAATAATGCTCACACTTTATTTTGATGGTCCATTTGTTGAATTAAGTTACATGCCAACTAATTCTTATTAGATTATAGATTATGGACTATTAGGTTGGGGTTAGGGTTAGTGTACTGTAAGTTGACATGTACTTGCAAAGTTTCTTATAGTCAGTTGAACGTCTGTTGAAGGAGAATATCAACACATTTTAAGCAGTCTATTGCTCAAATGGACCATCAAAATAAAGTGTTACCAAAAAAAAACTCTCAATATTGCAGTACATATTGTGTCAATTTAATCAATAACACAATGGCATGTTAAAATGCTCTTTTTAAAATGTTAATAGCAAAATAAAATGTTAGTTTTTAGATATACAATAAAACTGTAGTATCGATGTGCACATCCATAGAAAAATAATTCTCTATCCATGTTCTGCCAGTAGAGAAAGAAACATTTTTTTGGTCTGTATCCAAATATTTTTTTTTTTCAGTCTGTTTGTTTTCAGATGTATTCAGAATTTTAAATTGCATCAATATTATTGATAATGCCCTATACATTTGAGAAGGCTGGAGATTGAAATATTGTTTTGCATACTAAGAGATTCTAAACTCCAAACTGTTTGTTCTGTACATGTGAACACAAAAATCAAAAAACAAGTACTCTTACAGTATATGAAAATACTCCTATTTTGTATGTCCTAAAAAACAAAAAAACATATGTGGTAGAATATCTTCACCCTGACAAGTGAACGGAGAAATGTGTGCAGGAGCAAAGAGTAATGACAGTCACCTTCCTCCAGTTGACTTTTGGAGCTGGGTTACCGACCATCTGACAGGGAATAACAAGCATCGTCCCCACATCCTGTCTGTACTCATTACGAGGTGACACTTTGAATGATGGAGGATCCTAAAAGAAGAAAAACAAGAACAGTAAACCTTGAGAATTCACACAGACCATAAATAACTGTCCTTTCATATTTTCCCCAAACAAAAAAGACAAACTTGTATTAAATGTATTTTGTACAATAGGTACACTATACAGCTTTTTTATTAAGAAGTAAATACATCTAACACTCATGCAAACTTTTGGGCGTTTTTATCCATTTTAGCTAAAGAGTAACTTTTAATACACAAGGGTTAAATAAATGTTATTCCATAACCCAAAGCATTTTTTTGTCTTAACCTGAAACCCTGTGAGGGTATTGACCTTATTCTGCATTGCAGAAGTGCACTTATGAGAGAAATGTCTATCAGAGAAATGACAAGGAATTATGGCTGAACAATAAATTTTATGTTTGAGCATCGATATCACAATGTGTGTATCCACAATCAAAGTCACATCGAAGGATTACAGTGCATCCAAAAAGTATTCATAGCTCTTCACTTTTTCCACACTTTATTACATCACAGCTTTTTTCCAAAATGAATTAAATGCATTTATTTCCTCAAAATTCTACACACAATACCTCATAATGACAATGCGAAAAAAGATTTTTTGAAACTGTTGCAAACTTATCACAAATAAAAAACATGAAAAATCACATGTACATAAGTATTGCTGTAAATCTCTAAATTGAGCTCAGGAACATTCCGTTTTCACTGATTATTCTTGAGATGTTTCAGCAGCGTAATTGGAGTTCACCTGTGATAAATTCAGTTGATAGGACGTTATTTGAAAAAGCATATAGCTGTCTATATAAGGTCCCAGGGTTGACAGTGCATGTCAAAGCACTATCCAAAGGAATTTTCTGTAGACCTCCGAGACAGGATTGTCTCGAGGCACAAGGCTGGGGAATGTTATAAAGTTCTGCTGCTCTGAAAGTTCCAATCTAAGCTGATTGGGGGAGAAGGGCCTTAGTCGGGGAGGTGATCAATAACCCGATAGTCACTCTGTCTGTTCTTCTGTGGAAAGAGGAGAACCTTACAGAAGGACAACCATCTGTGCAGCAATCCACCAATCAGGCCTGTTTGGTAGAGTGGCCAGACAGAAGCCACTTCTCAGTAAAGGGCACATAGCAACCTGCCTGGAATTTGCCAAGAGACATCTGAAAGACTCTCAGACGATAAGAAACAGAATTCTCTGTTCTGATGAGACTAAAATTGAACTCTTTGCAATGAATGCCAGGCGTTACGTTTGGACAAAACCAGGCACCGCTCATCACCAGGCCAATATCATCCCTACAGTGAAGCATGGTGGTGGCAGCAGCCTGCTGTGGGGATGTTTTTTCAGCAGCCGGAACTGGAAGAATAGTCAGTATAGAGGGAAAGATGAAGATGAGACATCCTGAATAAAAACCTCCTTCTGAGTGAAAATTTAAATTCATTAATGAGTGTAAATTAATTGATTTAATCCATTTCGGAATAAGGCTAAGGCTGTAACATTAAAAAATATGGAAAAAGTGAAGCGCTAATGCTTTCCAGATGCATGGTACATTGATTATTTAATAATAAAAATTATTTATACAATGATGACCATGTTATTTTACATTTAATCGATCAATTTATGTATTTGAATACTGTTAGACTCCACAAAAGGCACTGTTTATTTAACTTTTCTTTTTCCTCTGTCATATTTTTATTTGCTTGTAATTTATTAAACTTTATGTAAAGGCATTGTATAGAAAAATACTTGATCCTCCATGTCTAAATTTACGAAATCTTTCCAAATAAAGCTATTTAAATCATCTAGTGAAATTATCTTCATATCAAAATATAAAACAGAATACTGCAATGTCAAATTTGTTCCAATATCGTGCAGCCCTACATAGAATAATAAACAGCAGAAAACAGTCTAACTATTTGCTCTACTAACAAGTGTGTTCATGACTATATATAAAAAGTAGAATAATGTAATAAGAAAAAAATATATCAGTTTTCAACATTAAGGGCCCTATCACCCGGCGCAATGTGGCGCAAGGCGTGGCACCATACTCTTTTGCTACTTTTAGCTCGGTGCAAGGGACATTTTGAGGTGTTGCGCCACGCTGTTTAAGTAGCAAATGCATTTGCGCTCAAATGTGCGCCCATAGTTGTTCTGGTCTAAAAAAGCAGGCATGTTTTGGCGCATTGCTATTTTGAGAAACAGTAAATAGTATAAATTATACTAATAGTATAATAGTATAAATAGTAAAATATATATATATATATAATAAGGATATATACAGGATATAAATATAAATTATTAAAATATTACAAAACATATTAATTTCTAGCTTACATGAAGATTTAAAAACCACTGCTTCAATTTCTTCATCTCGGGAGGCTTTTTCAGTTTATTCAATTTGCTTTTGTATAATGTTATTATTATTAGCAGTATTATTTATTATATCCATTATATTTGTTTTATTAAATTTATTATAGAGACTGGAAGTCTCAAGCCAAAAAGCTTCAAATGGTGAAGTACGTGAAGAATAAGGTCACCAGAAAGCATTAATATTTTAAAACTCAAGCAATACATTGTCATCATTCACAAAACTGTTTCTTGTCATATTCATGAACAAAGAACTAGCATTGAATTTGACCCCCTATATGTCAAAACATCAATGGAATCTCAGTTCATGACCATTTTAAAGTCGAGATAAACTTTAGTGTAAACTTTTGTATGACCTTAATATTTCCAGTTGCTCCAAACAACAGCATAAGACATAAACTCTCAAATAACACCTTATTTATAAAGTTCAACGTGTACATCAATGCACATTTATGCATGCGGAGCTGAAGCACAAACAAAACAAAATGTCCTTCAGCGGGATGCATGTTTTATTTAATAACTGCTGGAGATCTAAGTCACATAGAGTACTTAATAATTCTCTTTAACCAATAAACAACAATAGCATAAAGTGAATTATAATGTATATACAGTTGAAGTCGGAATTAGTAGTCAGTAGTACGCCTGTTAAATTGAAATTCTTTTATTTTTTTCCCCTATTCCTTTTTAAAATGATAGTTTTAATAACTAATATCTAACAGCTGATTTATTTTTGCCATGTTGACAGTACATAATATTTACTAGATATTTTTCAAAATACTAGTATTCAGCATAAAGTGACCTTTAAAGGCTTAACGAGATCGAAGAGCCATGAGGAGCCCCCCACCCATCCACCTGATTCAGATCATCAGCTCATTAGCAGAGACTGAAAGACCTGTAATGGGTGTGACAGACAAAGGAGACATCCAAAACATGCAGCGTTGTGGTCCTCTGGGTAGTGGGTTGAGAAACACTGTTTTAGACAACGTGGGACATATATGTCAACATCTCAAAAAATGAGCTTTGGTGTTTCGTGACCCTTTAATTGGGTTAATTGGGCAGGTTAGGGTAATTAGGCAAGACATTTTATAACAATGGTTTGTTCTTTAGACAATCGAAATCCAACATTGCTTAAGGGGGTAATAATGTTGACCTTAAAATTGTTTTACATTTTTAACTACTTTTATTGGAGCCAAAATAATACAAATAACACTTTTTTTCCCGAAGAAAAATACTAGCAAATACTGTGAAAATGTCCTTAATCCATTTAATCCATTAAATTCACAGTAGCTTATAATTTGAAAGTGATCTGTAAAGGAATTATAATAACAACAACACTGTTTAAACACACCTGCAGTATAACAGTGGTGGGCTCAGACTGTCCCGTTGTCCCAAAGCTATTGTATGGAGTGCATATGTAAACACCAGCAGCATCATCATTGACTGTCGCAATGACAATGGAGCCGTCTGAAGCCAGCGTCCATCCAGGATACTGTTGAAAGAGTTTGACAGTTATTCAGAGTCGATTCTGAAATAATGCACTTCACAGAGATGTTAGGTTCATCATCAGAAGAGGGCTATAAGTGGTGCACAGCATGACATCACCCAATCAAAATCAATATGTCAAGAACTCAGGAAAGCACTTAGAAGTAGCGCTGTACTTATAGAAATGTACAAGTTCAAAAAGTCTTTTGTATAGCTATTGAGAAAAGCAATCGTTTCTCACCATGCCTAAATCAAGTGGTTTGCCGTCTTTGATCCAGTCGATGTGTGATAATGGAGGTTCAGCTCGGACAGGGCACACAATCGCACCCCTCATGCCAGTGGGGAGGAAGGTCAGTTTGGGCATCTGAATCACCTGTGCCGGGTCTGTCAAATGAAAACATGGTATAGGGGTCATAAGTGCATAGTTGCACAAGTTATGGTAAAAAATAAAGTATAATAAATTCAAAACACCCACACAATCTTATTTCTAAATAGCAACGATTCAGCTGTCTCAAATAAACTTTGACAAGTACGATCAATGCAGATAATTAGATCTTCACTTGCACTGTTGCTGACCCACAGAGAGCAAATATGTTATGAAACAGTTTCTACTCGTCCGTATTTCTGCTACAAAAAGCCACAAAAGTACTAAAATAATGTGTTATATGTTGAGTAAATACCCTTTTGAAACTACCTTGACATTTCAATATTGTATCAATTACAATGCTACAATATATAATGGTGGTGATATACAGTTGAAGTCAGAACTATTAGCCTCCCTTTGAATTTCTTTCCTTCTTAAATATTTCCCAAATTATGTTTAACAGAGCAAGGAAATTTTCACAGCATGTCTGATAATATTTTTTCTTCTGGAGAAAGTCTTATTTGTTTCATTCCAGCTTGAATAAAGGCAGTTTTTTTTTTTTTTTTACACATTTTAAGGTCAAAATTATCAGCCTCTTTAAGCTATTTATTTTTTCCGATAGTCTACAAAACAAACCATCGCTACACAATAAATGCCTAATTACTCTAACCTGACTAGTTAACCTAATTAACCCAGTTAAGCCTTTAAATGTCACTTTAAGCTGTGACAACACAAGCATGTTGAGGACAGTGTCCGATGGAGGAATTATGATCACTGGTTCAAGTGTTTGATCTTGAAATATCTAGTAAAGTAATTTTTAACTGTCACCAAGGCAAAGATAAAATAAATCAGTTATTAGAGATGAGTTATTAAAACTATTATGTTTAGAAATGTGTTGAAAAAATCTTCACAAAAACGCCAACTGACCCAGCCGAGGCTCGAAACAGCGACCTTCTTGCTGTGAGGCGACAGCACTACCTACTGCGCCACTGCGTTGCCTGGCCAATCAATACTCAATTTTGTAAAAAGAGTAATATTGTGAACATTTATTACATTTCTAAAATGTTGTTTACAGCTGATGAAGAAAAGTATTTTTTTTTTAGCATGATAACTCTCTGAATGGTCACGTGATCCTTCGAAACATATAAGCTGATTTGCTGCATAAGAATATTTGAAGATTAAATATGTGCAATATGTGGACAAATTTTTTGGCATTCCATTTGAAATTCAACTAGCTTAAAATGCTGAGATGCAAATAGTGGATTTGCCATTTTCTACTCTAATTTAAACATTTATGTTCATAAGAAACTTTTATTTAGCATAAAATGTTGCACACATGGTATGTGAAATGAAGCTTGCAAAATATAAATTCAAATTTGATAATATAACCTGTTTGTGCTAAATATTAAATCTCATGTACTCATGCTTAAATCATAAAAACTTGATTAAGTTTGAAACTAGATTGAAACCTAGTGAGGGCAAACCCAAATTCAATCTGATTTTGCACCATGATATGCAACACACGGTGGCTCAGTGATTAGAAATGTCACCTTACAGCAAGAAGGTCACTGGTTCAAGTCCCAGCTGGGCCAGTTAGAATTTCTATGTGGAGTTTTCATGTTCTCCCTGTGTTTGTGTGGGTTTCCTTTGCAGGGCTGATAGTGGAAAAAATTCCTGAGCCTGAACTTTTTTTCCTTGCCCCTGAGGTGAGTAGGGGTGGGGGTACTATGTATGCAACGCACTTTTAACACATAACTTGTGGGCCCCTGGGCCCAAATATATTAACAGCCTATGTGTAACCCTGATCATCATTATTGTCAAGTGGCTCTTTTTAGACACATGCCAGTAATGTCAGTGACACATGCCAGTGTCAGTGATCTTGTGACATGTGCCAGTAGGTGTCAGTATAAGCACGTTATAAGCACATTAATCTTATAAGTGTCTTTGCTTTAATATTTAAAAATCATTAGGCAAATGACACCTGTTATCTTACATGCATATATGTTATGAGTTTTCCAAATGCATTTTATTATAACTTTTTAAAGGATATTATTTAAAATACCTTAAAATGAAAATAAGTTAAATAATAAAATAAATGAATGAATTAAAAACATAGAGAAGTCCATATTGTAGGGAACAAAGGAACTGCCAGGATGCAATAATATACAGTACAACAGATAAGTGTAACCCCTCCCATACATAAGCATGCCACAATAAATTTGACTGACATGTACTGTCAAATGACTATATTACGTACGGAAGTATGACTACGAATACATAAAATAAATGCTTTTAAATTAAAACATCGTGGAGTAGCTCAGCAAATAAACTAACTTGCGACGCGATAAATTAGGTTAAAAGTCGCGTAATGATTAAATATGGTTTTGCTCGTGTTAATTAATGTCATAAGCTTCGCCGGGTGTCGATGTCACTGCAGTGACATGCAGCGCGACACTCTGAGTGACACAGGTCACTCTACACATGCCACTAGCGAGTGACACATGACAGTGGAAAACCGGACGTGCCACCGGAATGTGCCAGTGTCATCTGTACGTCAGATGTCATCTCACTCCATGTTAAAACTGCTACTGTGAATCCGCGTTCAAGCGCACACAATAAGCTAAAACTCGCCCCAAGCACCGGCAAAAACAAATAACAATGAATGTGTCGAGGAAAGAGTAAGGACATATCTTAATTATTTATTAATAAACTTATTCTGAGTCAGTGTCGCAAAGATCCTGACTGGCAATCTCCTCTTGGACTCGCCTTTAGAAATTCATCTTTACGGATTACATGAAGGAGTTTTCTTGTTTTCGATTTGTTTTATTTCGTCAAGTAATAATTTAAAGCTTTCTATAAATATATTTATTATGTCTGTGAGGCATATACATTTTGTTTCATTTTGTTAAGCGCTCCTGTTCAAAAACCAGACGTCAGAAAGCGCATCATTTTGGTTTTCTTTATTTTATAAAAACGCTGTAACGTTTTTTGATGTATTACTCGTACTTTGTGAGCAAAAATGACGGATAACTTTAAATTGCTCCCACTGAAAAAATGCAAGTGATTGCTCTGGCGCCTCGATGTCCTGCAAGCTTTTTATAAGCAAACTATGCGCCTAATAGCACACATTCTTTAACGTTTAAGCTACCATTGTTTTATACTTGAACTGTTTTATATCTTTTATTTTAGGCAAGTCGTGATGATCTGAGAAGGCAAACTGATCAAACAGACAATGATGGTCTTCCGCTGGGCGCTGTTCGTTAAAAAAAACTTAATTTTAACGAATAAAAAATGCTCCAAACGTTTTTCTAAATAAGCTGAATAAAAAACGAAACTAAATATAAACACTTTGCCATTAGGCTACATACAAAACTGAACTATTTCATAGCTGAAACACTAAGTTGTTTAAGGAGAAGGGGGAAATATATTTTTGTCCCGTCTATTTCTTCACCGTTATTTCGAGAATAAACCCAGCGTAAATATGCAGATGTCATTCCCAAAACATATCAGCGTATGTGCCGAAAACGAAAGTTTCATACAAATTCTGAATGGATTATAGCCTGGAAAGTGCAAAGCACGCTCCTCTTATTATCACTAAAAAGCGTCACTAATCTTAGTTCATAGAGATCTCACAATCCGTTATAATTTATAAAGCTCTCTAAATTACACAATTAATCTTTTATTTACATGGCGTCTACACTCAAAAGATGATTCACGAGCACACAAAATGGCACTTAATAAAAACCAATCCGGCGCTTTCAGCAGTGAGTGACTGACAGATCAATATCCGTGAACCTGATTTTTTTTCCCCCGCAGCTAGGCTTGCCACGATAGACGGTGTTGACGGTGATACCGGTGTTAAGACGCAACACCGGTGACATCACTTTTCTACCGTGACACCGTCCCCACATTTGTTTTTTTAAGTATTCGTTTTTTATTTTTTTTTTTATTAAACATTTATTTAAAATAAATGGAAAATATAATTATAAATAATTGACTTAAAACGACAGCATGCTCTATAATTAAAATCTAAAGCTACAGTGCGTCATATTTCATTTACCACGTGAGGAGAAAGAGGAGTCGAATTTACAGAAAGGATGGCGGACGATTTATTGTCAAAACGCAATGCAAAGGCGCATATTTGGCAAAATTTTGGGTTCAAACCAAATGCATAAGAGAACCTGACGACGTTAATGAGGCGATCTGCAAACTTTGCCTGACAAAGGTGGCAGTATCTGGAAACATAACTAATTTATACACGCACCTTCATGTTTAACTATGGGTGGGTCGCGGATAGATCCATACATACGCAACGCATACTCTCATTTAAAAAAAAATTCACGCGACCATCATCTCACAATGTTTAATAATAAATATCTTTTTTTAATTAAAACGAGTGATTTAGCAATGCTGCGCCATTGACAATCTAACTGCAGAGAAACATCGTGGCAACGTGAGGACTGTTTCCGAAGTTCAGCTGTTCTTATTTCCACTTGATTATGTGTTTAATGTCAAAAAAATCCATAGTGTCTAGGCCAAAAAGATCGAATCCTGTGTATGCGCGCATCTTTTATAACTGAGGCCGCTCTCTTCAAAAACCGAAAGTTGCTTCTTCTGTCTGGCAATATTTCGGCTTTTAATATATGAAAAGTTTATTTAGATGAGCCAATATTAAAAATTGCAATAAAGTAACTGAGACGTGCGGCCAAACATCGAATCTGAGGACTGATTTCTCTCTCTCTCTCTCTCTCTCTCTCTCTCTCTCTCTCTCTCTCTCTCTCATTCAGACATCGAGCCACAACACAAGTCAAGTTGCAAAACTTAGGCAGGTGCAGCTGACAGGTAGAATAGCTGAAGCCTTTACGAAATCTGTCAAAATGCACCTCTGAAATTAATAGGCATAAATGTCTTTGAGCCAAAAAAAAGTCTATTGGTAGGATATCTGTAAAAACGCAATTAGAGCCAAAGATATGAGCTGTGTAGCCTATAAATTATAGGCCTATTATTTCGAATAAAATGAAAACAAAAATTAACAATTCATTGCATTTTTCGTTTGATAAAAATATACGTAAACGAAAAAAAATCAAAGGGTGGCTAATTTGTATTAATGTGTTTTAATTTTAATGAAAATATGCTCAGCATATTTAATTAACGGCTATACGCCGTCAATAGACAAGCCATTCAAAACATATTATTTTACCGTGTACTGGGTTATAATGTATATTTTACAATAAAAACTAAACGTAGCATGTCTCGCTGTCATTTAAAACGTGTAATTCATACCACACCAGAGCTGTGGACCTGTAGTGTTTAAACTTACAGGGCGGTTGGTCAATAGTCTTAATTCGCACTGAACTCCAATCCGAGGGACTCGATAGTTACTCGATAGACAACATTAACTTGAGAGAATTAAAAAATAAAAGTTTGTTTTTAAAGGAACAACGTGCAAATCTGCAACAAATAAAATAAAAATAAAACGTCTTGGCAGTGCTGTGTGTATTCCGCCACTGACAGTGTGAGACGCCCTTATGCTGCGCCTGTAACGCTTGTAAGAGAGTTCAAAGCTGTATCGATAAAACCAAAAAGCAAGATCATTTAGTTATAAATATTCCATAACAATACTTATCGAAATATTTATACATTTACATGTTGTTTATTGAGATTGTGTGATCTGTATAGGTTGTCTGATCTTTCCAGAAGCTAACTGACACATGCGGTGTTTAGCTCTGACGAGGCGCTTTTATTTAGCCTGCCCTTTGATTTTTTACATAATGTTTCAATTCTTAATTTTTTTTCATATAGTTTAATTATAAAATGAGTGCTCGCTTGTTTATTTGTGATTATTATGCAAGGATCATATTTCATATTCGGTTTATTCTTCAATAGCCTAAATTCGTTAATAATGTATTTTATAAACGGATTGTTCATAAGGAATAAGCTGTTAATATATAACATAGGCGTTTATGGTTGTTATTTGTATGGTTCCAACTTACAGTTTTTTCAGCCTGTAGCAGTGTTGTGTTTTATTCGTTATGTAAATAAAAGTTATGTTTTGTTTAATAACAGGGATTTTTTTGTAGTTTCCTTTCCGTCCATTCAAACAATTGACACCGAATTGGCAACTCCCGCAAAACTGAAAGTGAAAGTATTATACGCACGCATTTATAAGCTATTTAAAATCAGAAAAAAAGAGGAAATGAAAAAATGCCCACTCCCACGGTGATACCGGTATTACCGGTGTTGTCACATGTCGATTAACCGGTGGGGAAATTTCCTCACCGTCACAACCCTACCCGCAGCCACAGTACGCCGGAAATCCGGCGTGGTGCCGGAACGCTATCACCCCTGCCTTTGGGAGCTCCGGTTTCCCCCACAGTCTAAAGACAAACTAAATGTAATTGAATAAACTAAATTGGCCATAGTGTATGAGTGCGTGTGTGAATAAGTGTATGGGTGTTTCTCAGTACTGGGTTGTGGCTGAAGGGCATTCCCCGCATAAAACATATGCTGGAATAGTTGGCGGTTCATTCCTCTGTGGCGACCCCTTATAAATAAGGAACCAAGCCGAAGAAAAATAATTGAATGAATGTAAGACACACTTACGCTGCACAGTGAGTACTGCAGAGGCAGAAGGGGAGACTGGAAGTCCATTAGTGGGCATGCAGGTGTAGTTCCCAGAATCCTCTGGGGCCAAACGGGATATGAGAAGTGTACCATCCACGATGACCTTAATACGTGACTTTAGAGAACTAAAACAAAGATAAACACTTATTAATAATACATAATCTGACAGCTTCAGCAAATATTGAACAGTTTAATAACAGAACTCACTCGATGTGATAAATATCTACTCCTTGTCTTTGCCATACGTAGGTCATGTTTGGTGGATCTGCTTCAGCCTGGCACTTCAGCTTGGCATCCTGGGACATGTTGAGGACAGTGTCCGATGGAGGAATTATGATCACTGGTGGACCTGTTGTTTATATAATAATATTAATAACAATATCACTTGATTCATTTCACTTTTAACTTGATTTTCTTTGTGAAAAAAACTGTAAACTTTAGCAAACTTATTTCCTTATTATGGAAGTAATATATGTGACTCCTGCTGGCAAAATAAGTCAGAATTTGCCCAGGCTAATTACTGTATAAGCTGCAAGCAAAACAAGTGAAATACAGCATGTCTATTTTAATTGGATTGGTTTATTCACACACACACACACAAAAAAACAATCGTTCATTAAGCACTTACTGAGTGAAATATTCCAAATACAAATGAAACAAGTACCATTTTAATTTGAATCTTTTTCTGAGAGGAGTTCAACACATGCACTTCTGGATAAACCTTTCAAAAGTCTACAGACAAATGCTCATAGTGAAAAGTTTAAGCTTTAGCTAAAACACACTTTAATATCATCTTTATTTAATGGGATATTTTTACAAAATAAAAGTGTGGTTTAGTACAAAAAATTATATCAATCACACTTTACATGTGTGTGCAAAATTGCAGCCTGTTCAAAGCCAGACAAAATAGAATAAAAACAAAATTACTTAATTGTAATTGTTAAAGATTTTTTTTTTTACATGACTAAAAACTGCACATTTTAAAATGAACCCATAAGTAGGGCCAGACAGAATCTGAGAACATTTTGTTTGCTATTTCTGCTAAGACTGTGGATTTATGCGGAATGATTTTAGAAGTATCATAACTAAAAACTTAATTTATGAAATAAAAAACAATACATTTTAACTCTTATTTAATGTTTACAATGCAAATTCAATTAAATCCACTTATTTGGTAAACAAAGCAAGTCTCTCCTATAACCAGTTCAGTTTCCTTTATTTTTGTCATTCAAAACATCACAATAAATTGTAAAGCAGAATGAAACTATGTTGCATCAGACCCAACAAGAACATAAAAACAACAAACAATAAAAAACCTAACATAATAAATAAGCTTTTATAATTTCATAAATATATACAAATATAGTTATATAAAATGTGACCCAATTTTTAAAAAATCATAGAAGAAAATAAATTAATACTCAAATAACTATTGCACAGTTTGTTATAATGCAGTAGTAATAATAATAATATTTTGTGCTAGTTTAACTATTTATTGATATATTATTACATACTAGCTATTCAATAGTATTTAAGATACGGTATTATTCAAAAGTCTTTTAGTGACAGGATAAAATGATCACCAAACCTCACTGATTTGCTCCTCAGGCTTCTGTAAAGCCTGCCTGATGGCATGAGGATGAGCAAACTATGGCCAGGGTGGGTTGGATCCCTTAAAATGCTATTTGCCCTAGACAGACAACGTTGTTGATACAATTCCTCGATAGATTTCATTTTGACTCTAACGGCCCTTTCAGCTGACTTTACTATCTTCTTAATGGTGTTCTTGTCAAATACACTGCTATTCTCATACCAAAGAGAGATGCCATTAGTGAGAACACTCTCAACAGCTTCTCTGTAAAAAAAAAAAAATCAGGATTGATGGGCTGAGGTGTGCTCTTTTAACCCTCTCAGAAAGTGCAGTCGCTGGTGCGCTTTCTTTGCAAGACTGCAGGTATTATGAAGAGACCAAGTCAAGCACCCCCAGGAATTTTACCTTCCCATAATATATCTTCTAAAAGACAGAAAATATTACTTTACAAACTGTATTGTAAATAATGCATATGAACATTTTAATATTACTATTATTATATCACAATAATATTAGTGAAATCAACCTAAAAACTGAATAAATATATATTTACACACATTTACACATGTAACTTCAGAGACTCAACGAGGGGCTAAAAATCTGCGGATTTCTGCGCACGCAGATTTCATGTGGACTTACCCATAAGTGTATTAAGAAATGTTTTTATGCACATTTAAGGGGTCTTTTATTTTAGTAATCTTATTATATATGCTATTATGTTAATATACTTTTAACAATTGAAGGTCATAAGTATAAATACACATTACACTATATTACAAGACGTTCACAACATAGGCTACCATAAGTTTTTACGTCTGTTTAATCCGTTTAATTCTTTGAGGAGTTAAACCTAATACTTTTGACTTGTGGACAATACTGTCTGTGTTTCAGCATCAGACCTGTGTGACGAAAGGGCGCTTGCAAACGTAAAAATACACCACTAGAGGGAGCCATTCATTCAGAAAAGCTTTTAGTTGACATTTAGCATAAAAGTATGAGCCAAAATTGTAACCATCCCTCTTTTTTGGCCAATAATGATATTTTAAGACCAAAACCAACACTTGAGTTGCATGGCAGTCGTACACAAAACTGTAATCTCACATATCTTATTACTGATGCCACTAAATTAATATTCATGAGCAAGACTTATGGGTTTTATACAAAACTTTTCCAATAATTAACAATCGCTCAAAGAGATAATGGTCACATTTTATTTTGATGATCCGTTTGTTGAATTTAAGTTATATTGCATCTGCATGCCAACTAATTCTCATTGGATTATAAGTAGACTGTTAGGTTGGGGTTAGAGTTAGGGTTAGTGTAAGTTTACATATACTTGCAAAGTTTCTTATAGTCTGTTTAGCAGCAATATCAACATATATTAAGCAGACAGTCTACTAATACTCAAATGGACCATCAAAATAAAGGGTTACCAAGATAATTTGACTGAAAAAAATTTACTTAAAGTACTACTCTTAGTCAACATCAAGTGGTCCCAAAGATTTGAGTTCATTTTACTATTGAACAAAAAAGATCATTTGAAGAAACTGGTAACCATTGACATCCATACTATGGACACTAAATATTAGGACTTCTCTAATATTTAGTATCAATACTACGGATGTCAATGGCTACCGGTTTCTTCCAATTGTCTTTAGATAGACAGTGTCGATCGCTTTACAACATTCTTCAAAATGTCTTCATTTGTTTTCAACAGAAGCAAGGAACTCAAACAGGTTTGGAACAAGCGGAGTAAATGGATTTTGTCTCGTCAAATTGGCAGATTGGATGCTGGCTTACCGATGATTTTGAGTCGTGTGACATGAGTGGCATTTCCTTCAGAGTTGGAAGTGTAACACTGATACTGGCCTGCTGCTTCTCTGCTCACCGCATGGAAAGACACACTTCCATTGACCATCTACAGGGGTTAAAATGAGAGAAGTGAAGTGAGTGGAAGACTGTAGGGGGAAAGTGAAGGATAAGCATGTTTTAGACCTGATCCTCCACTCCATTTGTAATCTGATTTGAAGTCAGTTCAATCAAAATGTGTTGTTGTTATGAAATCTGATAGCTTTTAAGATAAAGTGGGTATAAAAGTGAAAGCATAAGTGGAAAAAGTTGACAAAACAACATATTACAACAAAAAAAAATCTGAGTATTTTTGTAAATGTAGTTAGATACTTTTGTAAATGTTATCATTTTCAATTAAATATGTTATTTTAATGTATTTTTTATTTTTCTTTTAAACTATGTTTTTTTTTATTGTATGTTTACATTGATCTTTCTTAATTTTTCATTCATGTTTCTTTAGTAGGAAAATTAATGAAAAATGCTAATGTTGTTTTCAGGGGTTTCATTTATGTTTGTACCATCAAACACTGCACTAATATGTATTTGGCTCTTTAAAAACAGAACAAGCTCTTTTAATGTGTCACACCCAACTTCCAACAGGAAATACAAGAGGACAAGAAGGGCAATCGCAGCTGTTCAGTATTTCGTAAGGTTTTAAAGTGCTTCATTCTGACCTTTACTTTGTGTTGAGGTTTTATTGGTGCTCCGTCTTTGGACCAGGTGATTGTAGGCCGCGGATTTCCCTGCGCTGCACACTTCAGGGTTAATGATCTACCAACAAACACTTCCACCTCAGGAGGAGAGGTTTCTGTCAGCACTGGAGGAGCTACAAGCACAGAAAACTGTTATTATCTCTCAAACCCAGAACAGTTTCCAGCAATAAAGAGTAATATATTTGAGGAGAAAATCTTCAAAATAAAAGGTTCTACTGAGTGTTGGACAGTATATACATACAAATAGATCCCATCAGCTACTTTTCAGCAAGAGACATAGGTCGATTATCTCTTATTTTTAAATAACATTACATATAATAATATTAATAATAATAATAATAATAATAATAATAATAATAATAATTTTAATAATAATAATAATTTTAATAATAATAATAATACATTTTATTTTGTATAGCACTTTTCCTACATACATGCAACTCAAAGGGCTTCACAAACAACAAGCAAACAAGCATTGTAAAATAAACCAAATGAACAAATGTATAGACAAATGAAGCAAAAAAAAACAATAAATATATACTAACATAAAAGCATACATGTACACACATATTTGCATATATCTACACAATTACACACATAATAGTCCTTATATATGCATATACATGCACACACTGTACATGCATACATACATACACCTACACAATATACATACTGTATATATAAAAAAATGCATACACTTCACATAATGTTATATTCATATGCAATTTTAAAAAGATGTATCTTAACATGTTTTTTCTAAAAAAAAATGAATACTGGGGGACTTTTTTTTATTTAATTTGAGAAACAATTTCAAATTTTTGGAGCATAGTGACTAAAAGAGGTGCCACCGAATCGCATTCGATTTACAGAGTAAAATTCTAAAAGTCCAGCACTAGAAGAGCGTAGACAATGGTTTGGATTGTTTCTCTATATGCAAGAAATGTAAGAAGGTGTCAGGTTGTGTAGGATGTATAGTTGAAGACAAAATTATTAGGCCTCCTGTGAAATATTTCCTACTATATTTTTTTCTTATATATTTATCTTTTCTAGAAAAAAAAATCTTATATATTTTAAATTAATTTTAGGGTCAAAATTATTAGCCTCTGAGAAATATATATATAGAAATATATTTTTTTAATTATAATTATTTTTTTATCATTTACAGAACAAACATTGTTGTCCACTGAATTTACTAATTCAATGAAATTGCCCAGTTAGTCTAGTTAACTTAGCTTAAGTTTTTAAATTGCACTTTAAGCTGAACACTAATATCTTGCAAATAAAATATCATGTACTGTCATCATAGCAAAAGAAATGAGTCATTAGAAAGTAAAACTGGCGTTACAAAATATGTTGAAAAAATATTTTCTTCTTTAAGCAGCACTTGGCAAATATTTGAAAAAGAATAATAATTTCAACTGTATACCTATATTTTAACAATCGATCAGATTTTATTATTTTATTTCATTTTTATTTATTTAAATGTCTCATGTTTACAAGACTGTGTTTTTTTAAGAAATACTGTACATTAAAATCAGTAATATTGTCAACTACTGTTGTAAATAATGGTAATTATTGAACTTTCTTTTTTTAAATATATTTTAAAATGTAATCTATTTCTGTGATTGAGTTTTCAGTGTCACGTGATGCTTCAGAAATCATTTTAATTTGTTGATTTGCTGTTCAGAAAATATTATTTTCAACTCTGAAAACAGATGTGCTGCAATATGATATTGTTAAAATGTGGGATACATTTTTAATCTCAATAAAAAGTACATTTATTTAAAATGTTAATGTTTTGTAATATTTCAAACATCTTTAATCTCACTTAATTCAAATGATAAATGGCCAAAGCTGAACTTCTTTAAATCTAGCCTACTTAAAAACTTTTAACTGAAAGTTTCGAAATGGCGTCATGAGCACTGACTACTTAATACTTAATGACTTATGTTTTTCATTTACAGAAAACCACACTGAGTCTAGCCAGGCCTGCAAGATGCTGTTTTTGCTTGGGGTCCTGCGACTCAAACAAACGATGAGCTGAAAACCGAACCCAGTATCATCACAGGCCTGGAGTGTCTTCTTTAAAGTATCCCGAAGCTTTTAGGTGTGTCTGATAAAGACAGACAGCTGAAAAGCAGCTGGCCTGTGTGCTCACTCATTGTTCACTGCAGGTCTGAATAGAGCACAATGCCATTGTCTCACTGGCTGACATCAAGAGAAGTGCTTTGATAATTCTGATTCAGACAGCTGGAAAACTTATATATGCTCTCAGGAAATACAGTAAGAAAAGTACTAATAATATCACCATACTTGCACATTTCATTGATTACCTTGCAAGCATTATGGTAGTATATTATGGTATTATTTGCTTTTTAAATGTTATGCTGATATTAAAATGAAGAGTAATTACATTGCACAAAAATCTGACCACCGGATGAAGTCAGGTTCCTTTTTTGCACATATTAGTGTCAAATATTTTTACAGAGGGGGTTTTGTAAATTTGATAATTCAGAAAATCAGAAGTAAATTTGATAATTCAGAAGTAATTCAAAAGTAGTGTATAATCAGGCATGTTATGAATGAACAGGTCGCTCAGTAAAAACCATCAGAATCCAGAGATGAATAAAACTGTAAAGTCTTGAAGTGCTGCGGAAATGGAGAATTATGGCTCATAAAAGTTATTTTGAGAAAACCCTCCATTGTAATGGTAATCTACAGACACTTCCTCAATGGAGATGTTGAGTCTCACCTGTGACGGACAGTCGAGTCCAGCTGCCGCTGCTTCCAGCTTCTTCTGTAGTTTGATCCAGAGGAAGGATTCGACACTCATACCAGCCTTCATCCTCTAGCTGAAGACCACTCATCTGCAGAGACGTGCCCCCGAAGAGAGACACTCGACCTGGACACAGATAACCAGTTTTATGACTCATTCTATAACTGAGGGTACATTACAAGCATTCGTTTTCCTTAAACTAATGCCATACAGCAAATGTCAAATTTACAGTAGACTGAATATATTTCTTTTTATATAAAATAATGCAAAATACTTAAATGTGATAGTCTGGTAATCATTGTTTAACTTATTTTTAAACTTTTTAAACAACAGAGTTGACAATAACAGAGTTTATATTTTCCACCATTTTGTGATTTAGCTCACATGCAAACCTCAAACCAGATGGCATGTCTGAAACAGAATTGTATATATTTTATGTAATAAGTTTGGCTTATGAGGCAGAGACAGACAAAAATAGCTGTATTAGGAGTCTTTAAATACCTATAAATACACACACAAACATTCTTTTTAGAGATAACATCATCAAACTTGTGTAATAAATCAAAACTTTTTCACTGAATTCTTTGTTTTTGAAAAAAAAAATATCAGAAGGTCTATCTTAGAGATGTAAAAAGTATATAATAATGTTTTTAATAATTCAACAATCTACAAAATCACAAAGTAAATGTGTTTAAATCGGTCATTTTTAATATTAGTACTGTATCGTTTTTAGTATTTGTTTATCTTTTGCATATTCATTCATTCATTCAACAAACGTTTTAAAAAGTTTTAAAACATTTATTTAAATAGAAATGCATGTATATTTACAAGGTTATAAAAACAAACAAACAACCATATAAGACTTTTATTGTTAATAATAAATTTGTCCTGTTTAGTGCTGCTTAGTGCTTTTTTATGATCAGTATTTTTAGCATATTTATTTATTATTTAGAAATATTTATTTTATTACAATTATTTAAATTGTAAGTAGTTTTAAATGAAGTTCCTAATTTTACTTTTAGATAACAAAACTTATTGTAACTTGTTTTAAACACCACATAAACATTAGTGCTACATGATTACATTTCTATGTAAAAAAAATAATAATAATACAAATGTAAATCATACACACTGCACATGTCTAGTACAGCATGTTTTTAAGTATGTGAAAGCTCATATGGTCATACGTTAGTGTTTAGTGGAGCATATGAAATTCAATGAGTTGCCTGGTGACTGAAGCCTGCAGTGACGGTGTTTGCTGAATCACTCCACCTTCTTTTCTCCCTTCCTCTCTCTCTCTCTCTCTCTCTCTCTCTCTCTTTCTCTCTCTCTCGCCCTCTCCCTCTCATTCAGCCAAATGAGCTTTTCAAACACTTGTTTGTTCTTCAAACTCAACACTCTTTTTAAATAGTCTGGCAGTCAAACCCTTCCCCACAGGAGCCACATGAAACATAAAACGAGCTTGAAACAGAAAATCCATCAGGTATGAATGTATGCATGGCATAACACTATGTTTCTGAAAATCATCAGCGACAGTAGTCATTAATAGGTCTCCCATGAGGAGTGACTGTGGAAACAGAGATAACAGCTGAGAGCATCATCACAGTCCGTCATCTGCCTGTTTTTTTTTTTTTTTTTTTTAAACCAGAGGTCATGAAATCGTCCTGAGGGATTTGAACAGGAGCACACAGATACAGACACAAGCCGACACTGAAATACTGCCACGGCTCCTGTTGCCAGTGGTTTGGATTTGAATTTAGTTGCCGTAGTAACAGGGATTTAATCAGCTCGGGGGTGGGGCTTATGGGGAATTTAAACTTTGGAGGGGAGGTGTAAAGACAACTGCCTACTACTGAAATTTCAGACAATAACATGTGATAAAGAACTTTAAAAAAAAAAAAAAAAGTTCTATAAAAAGCTTTATTTTTTCAAACTGAATAATAAGATAATGATTTTACATTGTTAAAATAACACACAATACCAGTGTTTTACAACTGAATACAGCTGAAAAAAACAGATTTTTAGTTATAACAAATAAAAAACATTTGTTATTCATTGTCATTATTTTTTATCTCTTTTAAGTTTTTTATTGAAATTTATTTAACCTTTTTTTAATTAGCTAAAAAATATAAACTGGTCAAAAGTTTGGGATAAGTTTTTTCTTTTATGTTTTTTTAAGAAAAGTATACAATTTATAAACAGTATTTATTCATTGTAAAAAAAATAAATTATATTAAAATAAAAAATAAATTGTTAAATACTTATTAAATTTATAAACTTCCGAAGCCCTGCGTACCCGCTCCAAGGTCTGTAATTTAATTTACTTTCACATTCTTTACATTTTAAAGGTCTGTGCTGGTACCCCATAAGTGGTTCAACTCTCTCATCAGTTGGAATAGAATAACTTTTGCATCGATTATAATAGAGACATTTTTCTTTTTTCTATTTACTGACATGTGCAGAAACCACCAAAATTAATTACAGCAACCTAGACCGGAGAGAAAATAAAAGGTAGACTTTCAAATTTGAGTTTACAAAAAAGAAAAAAAAAAGTATTTTTTTGGAGGGGTTTATTATAACACAGGCAACCTATACAAGTGTTTTTTTTTTCTTTAAAATCATACTAAACTTTTGCATGTACACCTCTGCATGTGGATTTGGAAAGCTTTTGAATTTGGGTCAGCAAAATCCAGGCAGAAACCCCAAAATAGCACCTGACTTTATAACTTCTTCCTTATTGTTTGAAGTTTCAAATACAATTATTACTACAGTCATTACTTTGTTTTTTTATCATTACAAAAAAATAATAATAATAATAATAATAATTCATATTAGAGTAATTTCTGAAGAATCATGTGACTCTGAAGACTGAATTAATGAATCTGAAAAAAATCCTCTTTGAAATCACTGGAATAAATTATCAAATTGAATTATAAACAAGTTTGAAAAGTTATTTTTATAGTTCAAAAATATTTCACAATTTTACAATTTGCACTGTATTTTTGATGAAGTAAATTAAGCCTTGGTGAACAAGATAAGCTTGTTTTAAAACATTCAAAAATCCTACTGACCCTAAATTTTTGACCGGTAGTGTACATTTGTTGAACAAACGCTTGGGCTGCTAATCAGAATTATGCGTATTGTCGGCCCAACAAATTTTAATTGAATGAACATTTTATTTAGTCTTATGCCTTACCCAGAATATAAAAATACATATAAATTCATGTAGATTATTTACATTAATCAATACTATTAGAATGTGAAGAGATTTTCAAAAAACAGCAAAAAGTGTTTCTGAAGACCTACTGCACCTTAAGTAAACATGCCAGAGAACAGAAAAAACAGAGATAATACAGCTACTGAGCTCTAAAAGGCAACCTCTAAGCACTAAAACTGACTTCCGGGGATTACTTCGTTAGAAAAGGTGAGTAAAGTAACCATAGAGAGCAGTGTGTTTATGCCCATATGTTATTTATAAAAACACAACTGTAAAGTATCTCTAAATAACCATACAATACTGCAACACACCATCATCACCATGTGTGTGTGTTCACCTGTTTCCTGGAGCAGCACAGATTTATCTGAAGTTTTCACACGCAACCATTAACTCACTTGTTTACTTATGAGTGACGACTCATTTCCCACTGAGCAGATCACAGTCAAGCAAACAAGAGCTCGCTGCGTTGCTTAGTCAAATCTCAGGAGAAACTAACATTAGAAGTAACATATACTGTCATGTGAAGCAAATGTCAGAGTGCATTTATGCCGTAGGAACCTAAATATAATTATTTATAGGGCAGAAACAGCTGATAAGCCAAAAATTACTGGTTAATTTGATACAAATAAGCATTAATTAAAAAATTCTTAATTCTTAAAATCCCCAATTGATTGACTACAGTGCTCAGCATAAGTGAGTACACCATTTTGAAAATGAATATTTGTATCCATTTCTCAGTGAATATAGGCAATGTATTTTGGTGCATTTAAATAAAACAGATTTATTAAACAGATATATTTATTAATACAATATTTTAGTCACCAAACATCTTAGAAATTGAAAGATAAAACAATTAAATAAATAAAAAATATTGCAAAAATGTCAACTATTTTTTTCCCATTTTTTAAATTTGTATTTATTATTTTTCTATAACATACAAATATTTAACTTGGTCGCTGATCGAGCCTCGGCTCAGTTGGCGTTTCTGTGAGGAGTTTGCATGTTCTCCCTGCATTTGCTTGGGTTTCCTCCGGGTGCTCCGGTTTTCCCCACAGTCCAAAGACATGCGGTACAGGTAAATTGGGTGGACTAAATTGTCCATAGTGTAGGAATGTGTGTGAATGAGTGTGGATGTTTCCCAGAGATGGGTTGCGGCTGGAAGGGCATCCGCTGCGTAAAAACGTGCTGGATAAGTTGGCAGTTCATTCCGCTGTGACGACCCCGGATTAATAAAAGGACTAAGCCGACAAGAAAAGTTTTTGGACCGTTATCGTTGTTTTGTTAGATGAGCTCCAGATTTTTACTTCAGTACTGAATAATCTAATGTATATGCACAAAAATAACATTTTATAGCTTCCTATTAAAAATATGAATTTAAAATATAGATTTGTGAGGGTTGTATAGATTTCTAGCACAAAACATCTAAAATGGCAGGGCAGAATCTAATTTCAAGTTTCACTATTTTTTAATATTAGAGTCAAGGGTTGTTTTTAACTGAAAGGATTTTGAGAGTATCTCTTCATCACTCAATAAATCAGAAAATTCTGTGAACAGCTAGAAACAAAAACATAATTAGTTTTATAAAAAAAAAGGTTTTTTATCAGGCATATTGTGTATGAACTGATTTCACAGAAGAAAACCTTGAGAATGAATAAAACTTTGAGGTTTTGTCTCTGTAAGTGGAACTGAAGTGAGGATTTATGGTTTAGTGTAGGAGGAAAACTCATTTGAGAAAACGACTTTTAAAAAACCTTCTGAAATCTACAGGACAAAATTGCTGAAGTGCAACTAAAGCCTAGTTCACACTACAGGATTTTAAACATCAGCAGATCGCTGTGCTGTTCACACTACATGACTTGACTTTGTGTCTTTTAATCTCTGTGGTGTTCACACTACGCAACACTCTGTG